CGTGTACCCAGGTCTAGATATACATGCTGAGCAGAGCTAACACTGCACCAAGAGGGGGCAGTGAGAATTCTGACAATCGTTGTGCTAGGTGAGTGAGGTTTAATTGCTTCCCTTGTGGCAGCATTAGTGAAATGCTGGGAAATATACTTACTTTCCATATTTTGCAGTCAGGTACCCACTACACAGAGACCCTATCATTCCCCCTATGCAGTATGTAGACACAATGAAGGACCAGAATAATGTGAGAGTCTCTTGATGCAGTGCTGAACCATATCGCTCCAGCCAGGTTTCATTGATAAACTTCTGAATGAACTGGGACAGAAAAAAAAAAGTTTTTATTCCTCTGAGACTCTAATCACAGCGGTTCTTTATGTTTACAACTTTAAAAAAATAAATAAATAGATTAATAGTTATTATTAAAATCAAGGATATAGGGCTTTTGTTTGCAAATTAGTATCTATATTAGCCACAAATCCACTGAAATACAGTTTATTGCCTGTTCATATGTTGGCTGTAAGCAGCTGCTTGGTCATTAGCACTGTGAGCAATGGAGTCTGCTAAGGAGGGGAAGGTGTTACTGTACTGATGCTGAAAATAGCTGCTACTTTATTTTCCATAGTCCCTCCATTCAGCTACAGATCACAGCAGGTATACTGCACGTTTTCCAGTTTTCTCAGCCTTTCTAACACTCATTGGGAAGCTGTCTTTGCAGTAGAGCTCCTAACACTTATACTTACTTTGTGCTTTGATACTGGACAGTAAAGATTGGGAAGGGGCTGGGAATAAACTCATATAGTAACACATAAGAGGAAATTTAGAGCATCTTCAAAATTTAAACACAAAAAACAAACAAAGAAAAAACAGTTACAGAAACCAAAACCAAGCCAAAACAAACCAAAACAAATAAACAAACAAAAAACAGTTACAAATATGATTTTATGAAAGGTTTGCTTACTGGAGAAGTATAATTGATCACAGACATCTGAAAGCCACCTAAGTGGGTTCCACCAATTCCTAGCACCAAAATCATCAGCAAAAGCTTCCGGTATTGAACCTGCCAAAGATGATGAAAGACAACCAAAGTTCCTGACCCCAGCAAGGCTTACAGAACCACGAGTTAATTCATGAGATCTTACATCTTTCCATTCCTATGATTAAAAAGCCTTCATCATCAGCAGCACCACAAAACCAAACCAAAACCAACCAAAGAAAAACAAAAGCAGAAAAGAAAATCATTTCCTGAACATTAACAACCTGGAAAGATGCAGTCTGTAATTCCTTTAGTTTTGCCAGCCACAGAATTTTAATCATAAAAATAATAGAAGTGATAAATCATAAAAATCCATGAAAGCTTTATTAGCAGCTTGTGCTTGCTTTTGCACTGGTACAACTACAACTTTCATGATTTCCTTTTTTCCTTTGATTCTCAGACACTTTGTTCACCTGTTTCCTGGGACTGATCAAGTTGGTTCTCTTAAAACTCTTATTTAAAAAAAAAATAAAATATATATATATATAATCCCCATAGGAATCTGCATTTTCAGAGCTCCTACTTGAATGACTCCTATGTTGTCCATGATGTACACTGCATTTTAGAGCACTCTTCACAAGCATGTATGTTTTCAGACATTTAATCAGGTCATACTCTAAACAGATGAACATCCTCAAACGTCTTTGAGAGTGCATGGCAGTAGAGTAGAATGTTTTTTCTTTTTCTTCTTTTCTATAATACTGTTTTCCCTGTTTTCCTCTTTCCTGGTTTCCCACATCATCCCTTAAACCTCACTTTTGTATTTGCAATACATTTTCTGCACATGCTGTGGAGTCAGTATTATTGCTGAGTCAGTGTTGTCTCCAGCATGTACTCTGCTCTCTTCTGTTACAGTAAATACTGCTTGATTCCCTATGCTGTAATCTTCAAAGATTCTGCTGCTGTCAGTGACTGGACTAGAAGACAAGATGTTGAATACTCACCAGCTCTGAGAGGAAACCAGCCATTTCCCCTTGAATACCTGCCTGCTCTGGGAGCCCTTGTCAAGTCTGTCGGATGAGTGATATGTTTCCTATGCTTAGATTATAACAAGTTGGGATCATAGCACAGAAGTTAAATTCTAACTACGTGGCTTCTAGTGAATTATGTCCTCCTCCATCACTGGCCAGGGTCTCTTCTTGCTGGTTTAATAATTCCAAGACTCAGATATGCCACATTGATTACAACATTAGTAAATGTTTATCTTTGTATTGGGAGTCTCCCCTTTACTTGCACTGCTAAAACAAATGTGGGTTTCTGCTTGGTGGGGATCAGGTGTTGGCGTCTTTCCTTCAGGACAGCAGGTTCTCTAGGCAGGGATTTCCTCCTCTCCGCTCTATTACAAAGTTAACCCACTTAGTACGGCAGCTGGGCTGTGCTGCCTGGTTTCCTGCATGCTGTAAGATTTTCAGTCAGTGAAAGTGATTTGAACAACTTCCCAGTGCAGAACATGAAGTATTTGAATACTGGAGGGGGAGCCTTGGTCCTTGCTAACACCCAGATGGTCTTGCTTTTTCCAGAACTACACAGAAACCTCTCTATTTCTGATTTGTAACAGTGGACATGGCCTGGTGTGTGTCAAAGCAGGGAACTCATTCTGTTCTGGTTTGGGATCTGATTTTAAGAAGTACTCTTTACCTTGAAAAGATGGTTTTGAACAAAAGATTTTCTTCCTTCAAGCTTCTACTGACATTCTACACTAAATACAGCTCCACATTTAGCAATGCATTGGTAGTGCCTTGATGGGAGGCAGGAAGGGGAGGCTGTGGCTTAAAAGGAAACAGGAGCTTTGCTCAGGAGCATGATAGAAGGGTTGCATCCATCCCAAAGTTTGCCTTTTCCCTGGCAGTGACTGGCAGCTCAGCAGCACCGAACCTGCTGTGTTATGCTGACATCCCAATCACTCTGTGTCTCTACACCTTCTGCCTCGGAGTCCTGTTGCACATCAGTACACTGGAAGAATTTAAGCTGAATTCTTCTTTCCTCATGAAGGAAGAGGAAAGAGATCTTCATTACTTTCACATCAGCTGTAGTTATGCATTTTGTTCCTTCACCTCTTAACACGGACTCCTCAAAGGTTCTCACTTGTAAAACCCCAGAATCCACCCTTCTCTTTCATTATTACTGCTGGCTGGACTTTCTGTTTTTATTTAGATTTTCTCTTGCTTCTTACAAATTCTTTCTCTCAAACTCCAGTCACATTCACACAGCCCTCCTTCAGCCAATGATATTTGCTGCCACAGAGAAGTGCAGTCAGATGGCACAGCTGCCCACTGGCCTCTTTGATCCCCTGTTGGAAGGGATGCAGGTCTACCTCCTAGCATCACACCAGGACTGTACCCAGCAGAGTATCCCAGCTCTGGCAGTCACAAACAGTATTTATAGACAGAAGCACAAGATCTGGACATGTGTGCAGTGAGTCTTTACCCATGCATCTCCCAGGCTTCTGCAATGAACAGCTCTGGGACTTTGTGGTCATGATGGTGACTTTATGTTTGTTCCTTCCATGTAATCATAGAATTCCTTTCTAAGCTCCTGTAAACTTTTGTTGTCCTCAAGTCTGGTGGCAGAAAGGTTTAACTAGATACTCAAACAGTGCAGTGTATCTTGCTTCCTGCCAGGGCACACCAAAAGCTGGTTTCAAAATCATTGCTGTTTTCTTTTGCTGTTTTTCACACTTTACTTTCCTTATAACTTCTTTTGTTTCCTTTGCAAATTTGGATGTTGCATCTCAGTTTCCAGACTTGTTCATGCTGTACTGTCCCTTGCAGGTCCCTTTCCCTCTCAAGAGGATTCTACCAGACTAATAGCAAATGTGACAGAGTCAGATGCCAGAGTTCAGGCACTGAAGAGTGAAGTCATGGGCAGGGAACAGATGAATCTGAATAAATCTTAGGGGAAATGGGGCCTTGTTCTTTGAACTGAGAGTGGGAGGCTTGACTGCTAGTAGGAGAGGCACATGTGGCTGGAACTTTCTGGAGGAGGTTTAAAACACCCTGTTTGTGGCCAGACTATAGCATCTGGTTGAAGTAACTGTCCCCAGCAGAGCCTTGTCCTTCTTCTTCTCACTGTCTGTATTTCTTCCAGAATACTCATGCAATTGTCATTTCTATTTGTCCCCTCATGTTTGTTCAGTGCTTTAATATGGAAAAAGCAAGACTTCAATGTCTAGTATAGCTCCTATTCATTTTCCTATGGAAGAGGAAGGAATGAGCCTTTTCACCTAAGATTAGTGCTTGTTCCAGACTTGATACACTTCTGTGATCCTAGAAATCAAATGGATACACTGCTGATTCACAAGTACTCATTTAACCTTTATTCACCACACATGCTAGTTTAAGGCATCATTAATAATTAACCATGTTTCCTCTCATACAGACAGTACTTACTAATAGGGAGGAAAAAGGGAAAAAGTCAGGCATGGAGAGCAAGACCACAGTGTAGAAAGATGCATATGAGGAAATGAGTTTTTAGTCTCTTTTAGAACACAAAAACATTCCTTGTTGCAAATCAGTAAGGCTGAGAAATATCAGACCAAGTTAAGACATTACCTAATACTTTCTCTTCAAAGAAATAGGCAGCAGCTCCCCCAGACCTCCTGCTCCAGGCCTCTCCTGGGCTGTTGGGAACTTCTGCCCAGCATCTGGAACACCTCCTGCCCTCCTTCTGCATCTTGATGGCTGCAGGTCTGTTTCTGCCATATTTTCTCACTCCTCTCTCCCAGCTGCTGTTGTGCAGCGTTTTTACCCTTCTTAAATCTACTGTCACAAAGGCATCATCTGCATTGCTCAGTATTACTGCTCTGGCCAGCAGCAGGTCCCTTTTGGAGCCAGCTGACTTGCTCTTTTCTAACTTGGGGCAGCTTCTGGATTCACAGAGGCCACTCCTACAGCCCCCTGCTATCAAAAGCTTGTCATGTAAACATAACACAGCTGTGAAGGCCACAGCTTTTGGTATTAGCTCATGGCACTGCTACAGATCTTGCTAGAGGGTGGTGTGATGATCAAACAGCAGATTAGGCCTGCAAAAGAAACTACCCTCAACATTTAGATCCTTTTGCAAATTTTATTGCATTGTACAGCATCTGCAACAGCCAGTGGTGGAGGTTTCATTTCCAGAATAAAATCTCACCCTGATAAAACTGTCCCAGAGTTGGGCATTCCTCTGGCCCCGACTCTTTAATCAGTGAAAGCCAAACACCAGCATGATCAGTGGGACGTGTTTGCCAAATTGCTGCGTTTTTATTTTCTTGTCAGTAAACTGCAAAGCACAACAAGCAAATGTGTTTCACACTGTATAGCAAAGAATAGAAAAAGTGAGGCCCTTTTCCCATACTTTGTAGTGAGAATTAGAGTATTTAGAGACCTAGAGAGATGAGCAAATGCTCAGACACAGGTTGGGTTCTCTAGCAGAGGCATCACTCTTTGTTTCATCAGTACCAGAGACGTGGGAACTGAATCCCATCGAAACTCAGTGCTCCTTCTGTCTGACATGAAACAACTCCAGGCTGAAGGCATGCTCCAATGTCATTATTAATGGTGTAGGAGAACCTAGCCCACAGTGGATTAGCCTACTTAGGCTTTCTTGCAGTTCTGCTTTCTTTGCTCGTGCTTTATTTCAGTGGTGGTCTATCCTTGTACGTCCAAGTAGAAGAATCTCAGAAATCTAAATAATGTATTTGATTGCAAAATAAGAAGTTTGGCTAGAGATGGCAGGTTACGCTTGGATGCTTCTCTAACATAGTGTTTCCTTTACTCCTTTACACTTTTCTCATTCAGATGTAGCAATGATTTCCCTCCAAAAAGTAAAAAAAAAAAGAAGATTAAAAAAATCCTGCAGCTCACAGAAACCTGGTCACAAGCAGCTCAAGAAAGGCCTAGTTGACTGAGAACTGCATGCTTGCTCTCAAGTCGAATTGTAAGAGGGGAAAACACTGCGTAGCAATTATGTCCTCTGACAGGAGTGGTACTCTTCCTCCACTGGTTCAAAAAGCAAAACACTTCGTCTGGATTGAAGCTCAGCAGCACCATCTTGTAAACAGTAGCAAGTAATTTTGATGTGAAAGCCTGTGTCTTAATTTTCTTCCTTTTCACAACTATGCTGTATGTCTGAGCCTTCCACACTCACACTGTCCTGCAATATGGGAGTCCTGGTTTTGATAGAAAATATAGCTGATCCTGTGTTTTCAGTTTACACAGATGGCAACTTGCAGAGAGTGAAAATATTCTTTCTTTACTCCCTGTCTTCCTTCCTTCCTTCCTTCCTTCCTTCCTTCCTTCCTTCCTTCCTGCCTCCCCTCTCCCCTTCACTCCCTTCCTTCCCTTCTTCCTTCCTTCCTTCCTTGAGCATTTAATTCAGTTCATATTTCAGCAGTTGGAGAGAACCACCAAGGTCATCCTGCACCCTGCACAGCAGGCCACTACTTTTTTAATACACATTTGTTCTGTCTGGGAGCAATAAAATCTTTTTTGTGTAGTGAGGCTTCTGGGCACAAGAGTAATAAAAGAACAGAATATGGGGTGGAGAGTTTGTTACTAAAGTCTAGTAACAGTTGTCAGTGAGCAGTTATTCTGCTGTAGGGCTGCCTGTCCCTTCTTTCTGCGGTAGTTCAGGCGGTTGAACTCCTCCATGATCTGCAGCATGGTCTTTCCTTTGGTCTCTGGCACTACCAGGTAGACAAAGATAGCCATGGACAGACAGTATGCCAGGAAAATGATGAAACAAAAACTACCAAGGCCTTCCTGTGGGAAAAGAAAGAGGGAAAATAGAAATTGATTCATAGAAATTGATCTAAAAATCTTTCTCTTATGATATGTTGTTCCTATTTTTGTATTCACTGAAATACTTGGCCAGGGACTTAGCTGATGTAAATCTTGCTTGCTGCCACTTTTGGACCAGCACTGAAGGTTAAGGTCAACTAATTCTCTGTTCCTGCTGTAAGGAGAGAAGCTGTATGATCAGCAGATGTTGAATCTCTCTACTTGACAATTCAGAGGGGTGCTGAGCTGCATTTCAGTCACTTTTCCTTTCTGCTCCACCCTTCCCAACGTGTGTTAGCTCTGTCCCTCCTTGCACAGTTCCCAGACTGCAGAGGCTTCAGTTTCCCTGCTGCTTCTCAGCGCTGGGTGAAATCTCTGGGAGAAGTACAGGTGGATCCATTAACCCCAAAGGAGATGCATCTACAGGGCAAGGAAGAAAGCAAGGGAGCCCCTCGTGACATTCAGATGATTTCTGACTGTGTCAGTGTCCCTGCTGCCCTTTCCATGTTTTCCAGTGTTACTCTGTGTACAGTTAGCAGCATTTTGTGGTTTTACTACATTTTCATTACACCTCTGGGTAAAAAGCAAAAGGCCATCCAAACTGCGGTCAATCCTGGTTGTCTGTTGCACAAAGATCTGGAAAAGGGAAGTAATCTCTGGGTTCAAGAAAAATCTAACCTCCAAACTGAAAATTTCCAAACACCTTGCTTTGCTTACCACCATGAAAGGGAACAAAAGTCCAAGAAAGAAGAGCTGGATCCAGTTTGTAGCACCATTAAAAGCATAAGCAGCTGGTCTGTATGACTGAATAAATATTTCTGTGGGTAGGGGGCATAATACTCCAGCTGAAAAAATGTTGGAGAAAAAAGAAAAAAATTAGAAATTTTGCCAGATGTTTCTGTAACTCATGCTTCATATGACTGTAGAAGTTGATGATTTTATCTGATCTAGGCATGTTTGAAATGCTGCTTGGTTCTTCAGGAGAAAGACAAGTAGGAACGCAACCTGAAAGGAAGCTCTATCTCCTACCACAGTATGGACTGCTCTAAGACTGGGAATATCTACCCCTCACTGAAGAGCAAGGATTCATGCTGTATGACAGTTTTGCCTCTCCTAAGAGTTGCTGTTAAGAAGCCAGGGTATATGAAAACATTCCAGTATAAAACGCCAACCTGGCCCAAGACCGAAGCTCATGATGAAGATAAAAATGAGTGCAGCGGAGCAATATGGTATCCAGGAGAAAGAATCCTATGAGGGGAAACAAAAATCAAATCAGAAATAAAAATTTCATTAATCCAGGTCTATTAGAAACAGGGTCAATCTTCATTATTACATAGTATTACATACATCTGTGTTCTCAACTTCCACACACTTCTCAAGGAGACAGTGTTGGCAGTGATCATACTTGTAAAAAGCTATTGACTTTAATCTGCATGTACATGGCTGGAAACAGACCACTGTTAGTATGATGGTTAGCTGCAAAAACACTTCTACTTCAGCTAAAAAGTTTTTTGGGGAAAGGAAAACAGTATTGATGTCTGCCATGTAACAGGACATGAAGATGTGACCACTTGGCTCAGATGCATAAGTGAGGTCTTACCTGTAAAGCAAGCGTGACTGTGAGAAGTCCTAAGGCCAAGGCCATAGCAGTGTGGGTTTTCCATAGCAGTGCCTTCCTCCCAGCACGGTCCACGAGGAAGCCCTGCAAACAGGAGCACCTGCTGTCAGCGCTCAGGACAGGTCTCACAGGAGTGGACAAGTTGCTCAGCAGCTGCCTTCAGCAGCAAGGCAGGGGATCTGCAGGGAGCTGGCCCTAGGAAGTGCCCCCTACTTGTCCTACTGGCAAGTGAGATGGTGCTGTGTGATCAGTGCAAAGTACTCCTGTTGGTTCACTGAAAGGGGCTGATTGCTGGATCTCCATTTGCAATAGTTTCTAAAGGTTGAAATGAAACAGAAACTGCAGCAGAATGAAATTCAGCTGAAGATCCACTTACACACAGAGCTGTGGTGAGGATCTCGGTGATCCCAACTCCCAGGGAGACATAGCGGGTTTGGGCAGGGGAGAGTCCAACTTTTAAGAAGACGTTGTATGCATAAAAGTAAACCTGGAAAGAACAGAAATGTGTGAAGGTTGCACCCATGTGATCATGTGTACACCAACTTCTGCCTTTTTTGGCAGATAACAACTAATTAGGGCTTAAGTAAAGAGCAAACGTTCTTGATTTTGGCAACTACTCCTCAGTGTTTTTATGAGGCTCATTTGTGCAGATGAGCTTTTACTAGCAGCTCTGCTTCTAACTCAGTAACAAAGATATACTTACCTTTTTCTTCTTACTTTTAGCACTAGCTTTTGTTCATGTTACAGGTTATAATTCCACCCAGCAGCCTTCCACAAGTTTTAGTGTCTCATGTGCAGGACACAGAGCACATACAAGTTTTGACAGTACTTACTAAGCAATTGGTTTAAATGAATATTGTGTATCATCTTTAAAACTTTGCAGTGATTCTGATAGTCACCATTTTTCTGAATGTGAGTATTCCTAACATATAAGAAATTCCATTTTAGCACTGTAACCCTTGCTAAACCACAGTTCTCAACTTATCTCAGTTCCCAAACTTTGACGGGAATGATTTTTAACAAATGATAACAACTTCCCACCTTACAGCCACTGCTCCAATTAGCATTTTACTCATTGCAGAACACTTCTTGCCACGGAACTGTAAACAGTGTACAAAGCAGAGAAAAGCAGCGTGCGTACCACATTGACTCCAATTAGCTGCATGCATGAGGAGACAAGAAAGAGAGTGATGAACTGCCAACGGACAGATTTGTCACGAATAAGATCACAAACACTCTTAGATTTCTCCCCACGGATGGCTTCTTGCTCTGCAATCATGTCATCCACTTCGGCCATGTGGTCACCGTCCCCCCAGAGCTGCTTCACAGCTGCAGGGAGAGGAGGAGGAGAAGATGACTCTGGGCCCAAGCTCACCGGCACACATGAATGCAGAGGATTCCTTCCTGCCTTATTGAGTGTCTTATTAACGCATCAGGCTCTTTGCTTGTCTGAAGTTCCTAGAAATCTGGGTTCAGCTTATACCCAAATACAATTCATTCCTATCTATTTTTACCTATAAATCTCAATCACGACCTCACCATTGACCAGCAGGTGTTTACAGTATTTCCACATAAGAGAGGCTTAAATTTTTATCAATCCTTTTTTGAATTCCCCCCTGCTAAAGGTACAGTTCTACTGCACACACCAAAACAGAGACAAGAAAAAACAATTCCTATGATTAAATATACAGCCAAAGAGTTCTCTCCCTTCACACTCAAAAGAGCCATAATGGCTGTTTCTCTGTTTATGTTAGCAGCTGCCATTAGGGTCACTGAAAACATGGAATACTCATAGATATGGACAGAGCATCCATTCATTACACAGAAGGCACAGTTTCCAGGCTCTGACTGCTAAGAGCACAAATGCTTTGTGACCCATTTCCTTACCTTTGATGCAACCCTCCTTGTCCTTTTTGTCGATGAGCAGGTAGCGGGGAGAGTCTGGGAAGAAGGGGAGGGTGAGCAGCTGAATGAGGGCAGGAATTGCATTTGCTGCCATGAGAACGGGCCACAGAGCTTCTACTCCCAGAACTTCTCTAAAACGAAAGGATTAAACTGTCTGTATTTTGATCTGTGTTTGCTAGGAAGGAGCATCATTCTTCAGTCTTAACCATTTATATGATTTCTGAATTTCATTCAGTTGAGAATTGGTGATGAGACAATTTGGTCTGGCTGCACACTTCAGCACACCTAAGAAAAGTTGTTGATTTGCTTATCCATAGACATGAATTGACACATGCATAAATTTTAATAACAGAAGAAATGAAAGAGCTCTTACCTGAGACCCAGAGCAAATCCTGCAAACTTTCCCACGGCAATGGCAGTGGAAGCAGTTATGGCAATCACCCCACGCAGCTTCTGTGGGGCGCATTCTCCCGCATACATGATATGGATATTCAGACCTAAACCTTCAGCGACAAATGACCGTCAGACAGGGCAGTACTTCTCATATGGATTGGATGGGAACGAGAAATTGGCCTGTCATATACAGTTAATTTAATGATGTTTGTGTTTTCTTATTTAGTAAAAAAATGCACTCGGTAATCAGGCACAAGGTAAAACCTTGTGATCCTCAGGCACTGCTCTCCCAGGCTTTTAATCCCACTTATAGGAATGCAAGTTTACCTGCACACACGCCAGCAAATAATCTCCCAATGATGATCATCTCAAAGGACCCAGACAGCCGACTGAGTGCCATGAGAGTTGCGCTCAACAGAGCAGGGATGTTGGCAAGCAGCATGGACTTCTTCCTGGAATTAATTTAAATCAGTGTCATTCCTGGCCAGACGGAAGTGATGCAGCTTGTACATTGGTTAAAGACTGAGATCAGCTGCAGTGAAGTAAATGGGAAATTGGAAAATGTTGTCTTGAACTGAAACCTTAGTTGGAGCTTTTGATGCCTACAGCACTTCTTGTGTGTAATGTGTTGGAGCTAATATCTACCTCGAAGAACATGCTGTGTGAGATGCTTTCTGTGAATTTCATTTTTCAAAGGTATGTACTCTCCAGATGATTTCTCTGGTCTGGATTGGCTTTGGAATTTACAAGGAACAGGGTATTCTTGTTGTGATCATTGGCAGTTTTTGCTGTTCTGTTTCTTCAATGATCTTTCATATGAAGTGACCCTGGGCTGCTCACAGGACCTCTTCACAAGCAGTGAAGACATAAAGATGTAAACACTTGTGCTTGCAGGTATGGGTGTAAACAGAAAACTAATGCAATCATTACTCCTACCTTCCAAATTTAACAGACATGTATCTGACAGACATGGAGCCCAGGAGCCCACCAATGGTGTAAATGGACACAACGAAGGACCACATCAAAGTAATTATCTCTTCACTGGGAGAAGATCCATATCTCTTCAGCCAGGTCTCACGTATGAAACTTTTGATGTACTTTAAGAGAAAAAAAGAAACCAATGGACTCAATCAACATGTTTTCTGATCATTGCACCTTTTTTTTTTTTTTTTTCCAATTTCTCTTTCCTGACTATTTGTCTTGTTTAATACATTTCTGTCAATACCCTGGCTGAAATCTAAACCCAGTAAAACGAGAAGGAATTTTGCCACTAACATAAGCAGAGTCCATGTTTTAGAAACATGGTGTAATAAGTCATAGTAAATATCAATACGAAATAACAATACTAAATATCAACTGTGAATGCCATTAAGAGAAGGTCAAGATGATCTTCTGTTCACATGCTGGAGCACGATTTGTTATACAGTTTTCCCCTTCATTCCCACTTGTTCCTCTTGTTTACTTTCTGCATCCTGCCTGCTGCTTTGGATAAAGTCTAGGTTTGACTTAAAGTGAGGTCAGGATTTGTCTCCTGATGTGTATCATTCTGGGGTCTCCCTAACCTACTGTTGATAACCTCAAAGTGTCCTCTTTCAGGATAAGGGTTCCCAGTGCGGTGACACTATGAACTCAATGTCCTCAGCACTATTTGAGCTGACAAACACCTCTCCTTTTTCAGCTGCGGGTATCAGCGCTGACCTGGGCTCCAGAGCTCCACTCCTTCCCTGTCCTATTTTGCTTTACAGGTGCTCACTCAGAACTGGTGTGCATAGCCAAGGACCTGGAACAAAGGAATCCAGGAACCTTGTGGACAGGAGAGTTTCTTGCAAACAATCCAAGTCAATAATGGAAAAATGCCTGGCTATGGATAGCCCTCATCCTCCCCTTTCCCAGTTCCATGGCATCAGTCAGAAGTTAGAAACAATGACACACAAGAGTAAGGCAGCTGCTCTGAGAATCAAGCAACCACAAAAAGTCTAGTTTCGAGTGCAAAAAGAAAGACCTTAGTGATTACAGATAGAGGCAGGAATGCATGAGGACACTGAAATCCATGCTGGAAGCTCAATCGCTGAGCTGTCTGTGCTTACCTCAGCAGGAGAGTTGATAATGGAGATCTGCAACCCATACTGGAAAGTTCCACCAATGCCCAGGACGAAAGCAAGGAGGAAAAGATTGCAGCTCATTTTCTGGCAGGAAGAAAAATCAGCATAGAAAGCTGTTCAGACATGCCCTCAGATGTCCCGTTCTGCCTGTGGGATCGCTTGAAAGTAATGCAGTGGAAGACCACAGCAGCTAAAGCACAGGACAGTGAGACATTTGTAGAAAGGAGAAACGAAGTTTGTAGCTGTCTCCCAGAACAGGTTTTACACCTCAGTGCTTCTGTCTTCAGCTTTATCAACTTAATCTGCATAGAATCGCTAGCTGTGGGAGCATGGTACAACGTGCAAGCATCATGCGCACACTTTCCTCCCATTTGTTTCCTCCTCCTCCTCCTTTCCCATTTGTTATCTCTCTTAAGTGAATATTTTGTTCAGTAGCTTGACTGAGACAACAGAAATATTTGAAGTTTGGAGGGCATTCCTGGTTTCATAGTTATTCACTCTGATTTAGAAATATATCTGATAGGCTTAAAAATAGCTCCAGTGTAATGCTACATGCGTACCCCATCCCTCCCACTCCCCTGCTCTCTGTTACTGGGTGTCCCAGTGCTTTCTGAACAGCAGTGACAATATGGTAATGCCCTTTTATCTCTGGAACAAATTGTATTCAAAGGCAATGCTGAGCCATAACTGGCAAACATTTACAGGCTGATTTCTAATCAGATGAATGCCGTTGTTTCAATGAGCATCAAACTTATCCATGTCGCATCATTGCTGGCTTCAGAGGAATCAGTTCTGAATACATTTGGTATTTGGCACATTCATATATTAAATGATGACAGTCTTATCTACTTATCTTGTGCTTATCAAAGCACTAGGAAGAAGTGAGAATTGTGGTCTCTACCACTACACCCATGCTCCGTGCTTACAAAAGATGCCACGTATCAGCATGAGACTCACCATGAGCAAAAGAAGCAGCAAATCCCATTTTAAGTACGAAGTTTGTATCTGCAGCAACTTTCTGACTGTTATCCCAGTTCTGTATTATAACACCATTACTTGGCTATTCTTTTATTGAGTTCCTTAGGTACTTTGTTATTTCTAACCCTTTTATTGAGGAGGACATTTTCTATCTATGGTCCTCCTCCATCTGTCAAATCATGCACTCTTGTTTTCTCGCTCTGTTCTGAACTCCCTTGGTTTGTCTTTGTCATACATCAGGCATTAAATAGAAAAGTGCTCTCAAATCCAGTTTTCATTGCTTTTTAAAAATATTTCCTTGCAACATATTTGATATCTCTCTATTATGATTTCATACTATTATTTTAAATGCATTTGATTCAGATTGATTTAACTTTCTGTACTAAATTTATGCAACGGGTCCTTTAGAATAGCAGAAAGAAAAAAAAAAATCTGTATTGCAAGAATTCTATTTGGGTGTGAAAAAAGGAAATGTATACCAACTTGCATGCAAAGGTAGTCATCTCAGCTTGCAGGCTAGATCTTTCCTGATGCTTTCTTGGGACACTTTGGGAAAAGTCAGGCTATATAGAGAGAAAGAGGAGCCTGAGATAACATTTCAACCTGTCATTTCATTCTCTTTCAGTGTTTACACTCTCTTTGGTTTGTCATGAAGTTCTTGCTATTTGCTTTGAAATGTTGTGTTGGTTACTGATGAAACTGAGAGTAATTTTGATGAGTTATGCATTCATGCCAGGTCAGCTGGGCAGAGAAGCTCCAGCAACAGAGCTGCAGGAGACAAGGAAAGGACAATAAAGAGGCATTAATGGAAGCCAAAGTCCAGAGTCTAGAGTGGAGTGGCACAGACTAGAGTGGACTGGCTTGGACTCCCCAAAACACAGTTTGGGTAATTGGTTATCGTATTAACGGAAAAGGTCCTGACTGTTAACGTGAGCCTCAACACAGAAAAGCTGTCTGAAGCCTTACTCAAAAGCTTGACTAAGCGTGACTAAGCTTGTGCATTCATGCTTGAATTATGGGATCAGTTGATGCTTTAAGGCTACCGGTTCATTGCCTGAAATTCAAGTCTGTGTTCCTGTAACACATTAAGTGCTAGGAAAGCTGAATGTCACTTTTAAATCCTGATCGTAACATAAATCAATTCAATCTTTACTTTTAGCCCTAATTCTCAATTGGCCTCTTTCTCTGGCAGTTTCCAGTGCATTTCTGGTAGAAGGGGTTTACAGGTGATTCAAACAGCTTAGGGGAAAGCATTTCAGCTGCTGAGTGGCTGCACTGGGCAGTGCCCATGCTGGGATTCTGCACGTCTTCAATTTCTGGAAGAACCTGGGCTGGTCAGGCTGGGACCAAGCTGTGCGGAACCTGAGAGGCAGATTATGCAGAGGAGCACTCAGGGGATAGCAGCAGGAACAGTGCTTCTCTGGTGTGATGGTAATCAGTCCTACAGTGCTTGGGGATTTGATTTTTAAACCATGATCATGAGTCTCTGAGAATCACTTTTCAAGATCCATTTGTGCCCAGCGCTTCACATGATTAGAAAATTGATCTAAGTAAGTGGTATAAATTCTTTCTGTTAATGAAGGTATGCTAATTCAGTAATAAATAACTATCTTGTTAAATGCTTCAATTAAAATGCAACCAACTAGATCAATTAAAATGTAACTACTGTTTACCTTTGCTTAATCAGTCTAAAGACACCTGATTTCAGGCCATGGTTACAAAAAGAACTAATTGGAGCTGAGGTTTTCTGATGCATAGTCTCAGGGCTGGGTCTGAATGTGTATCACTTGTGGGCAGGCATGTGGCATACAGCCAGCTGCCTCTGTCCTTCCAGGGCCCTGGGGAAAGCCAAGGAGTGCTGACTCAAGGTAGCAGCCATACAAGTGACCCAGATGAGGACCTCGGGACATTGCAAGGTTTCTCCCAGTTCCAAACAAGTCTCCCCTCAAACCTGTTCTTCCTGGCAATTTGTGCCAGGCTTCTCCCTCCACCCAGGCATTTTCTCTCCCACCTTCTCTTCACTGCCTCATTTCTATTTCCCATCTTTTCTCTGATCCCCACTGAAGGACGGAATGTTTTGGTATCATCGTGATGGTACCAGCACTTTTTGCTTTGAGTGTGTGCATTCATCAGTCCTCTTTCCATCAGGCCCTCACTGCCCTCTCCAGATGATATGAATGAAGAGTTCCTCTGCATTTCCTAGCTTCCAGCTGTCTTGCTCCAGGTTGTCTTGTCTCAAAATCCTATCTGTCTCAAAATCTCAGTGTTGTCCAAGAGCAAAGATAGCTGCTGTTGCCATGTGTTTATGTGAATGACTTTTAAAGAGCACCAACTGCAGGTGAACAAACATTTATTTTTCTACACTGTAAACTGTAGGTAGTAAAAGATTGTTCTTGCACAGACTCTGGAGAAATACATCTGCCCATGCCCAGCATGACAGTAATACACTCAGGAAACATTATGTTTACATTCATGACATACAAAAATGCTGGATTTTTTTAAATTAAAATTGGTTAAAAATACACAGAAAGAAACTTTAGTTATTTTGCCAATGCTCCTCTTCATTGCAACCACAGCCTCAGCAGAGCACAGGTGTAAATGGAGGCTTAATCCCTGCAAGATTGGCAGTGTCCAGGCAGGACCAGAGACAGAACATAGGATTGGATGGCAAGAAACAAGCCATGAAGAAAATCAGTCCAGAGTAAATAGTGTGCAAAATGATGCCCAAACATCAGCTGTATAAGCCACGCAGCAAGTGCTAGAAGCTTTCTTCCTAATCCATCCGTCACATGCCTTTATAGCTGAAAATAATTAACTGCTTGCTATTGCTCAACAAGTAGTGGTCTATTTGAAATCACTTAGTAACAGAAACAGAAGCACTGAGACACAGTTCTGAGAATTTCATCTGCTGTCTGAAAGCAGAATTTAATCATATCAATTTTTGTATCTGAGAGCCCAGATTTAGAAGCAAAACAAACAAACAAACAAAACTTCTGGAGTGCAAGTTGCTGCTTGGTTTGAGAAGAAAAACAATTGAAACTTAGGAGAAATTCAGAAGAAAGTTGCTGAAGCATCACATGGTGGTGTTTGCTGATAAGAGAATAAGGCATCAGCCTATCACTCTTTAATATGCGTGTTACTTAGTATTTTTAACAGATTTTTTAACTTTTGTTGCAATTTAGTAGCTGTATATCATAAATCTGTTCTCCATAAGCAGAAACACAATTGTGACAGCATAAAGTTGTGTGTAAACCAAGATCTGTGACACTGATAAGCTTTGGCTACTAACTGTGAACCCTTCAGAGGGTGCATGCATTTATCCAAAACTGTCTTTGAATCTGGGAGAGGAGGGAATCTATTTTTCATTCCCTTTTTTTTCTTTTTAAATCATGGTCCATCCTAAGCTCTAAGCCTCTGGGGCCAAATTTCAGATTTGAATACCTAAACACAGTATCCTACATCAATATTTAGGTATCTGGCAGTATGGCCTGAGTTTCACTGTTGGTTGGAAGTAGGCACTTCACATTTCAACTCACAGAACCTTGCTTTTAAGCAGCAGGAAAATAGTCTGTGTAGCAACACAATAAATGGTTTATCAGGTGTTACAAAATTCAGCTGACGAAAGGGTGGCTTACAGCCTTTGTAACATCTACTGACATCCCTGAGCAAAGCAGTCAGGTTCCTTGTCTCGCTATATCATGCTGCTGTCAGGCATTTCTCTGATATACCGGCTTGAAAGTGTTTCAGTGGAACCACCACGTCACACATGATTTTTAAGAGAAACTCTCAAGCATTTTGGCAGGAAGGCAGTCCCTGAGAATGTCCCCAGGAACTGACAGAGGACAAACTGTGGATGCCCCATCCCTGCAGGCATTCAAGGCCAGGCTGGATGTGGCTCTGGGCAACCTGGTCTGGTGGTTGGCGACCCTGCACATAGCAGAGGGGTTGAAACTAGATGATCATTGTGGTCCTTTTCAACCCAGGCCATTCTATGATTCTATGATTCTATGTTACGGTTTCAGCCAAATGGTGGCTTAGGAGGAGTATAACAAATGAAGTAAATAAGTAATGTGATCCTAACGGCTGAATTAAGAGCACTATATTCTCCCCAGCCCTGCTCCTCTCTCTGTCTCCCTGCAAAGAGAACATAACCACTGCTGAATTTCCCCCAGCTGCCATTCTCCTTCCTTCTGCTACAACGTGGTGGACCTGATCTCCTCAGGGCCTTTGTAGAAAGCTTCAAGGCTCTGAGCTCTGAAGTTCCGTTTCCTGAATTCCTCTGAGATTTCCAGGAAGGACTTTCCTTTGGTCTCAGGAAGGAAGAACCAAATGTAGACAGCAGTGCAGATGCAAACCACAAGGAATGGGACGTAGCAGAAATGTGCTAGATTTTTCTGAGGAGGAGGTAAAGAACAAGACGATGTTAGAGACATTCTGTACAACAGCAAACAGGTTATTAAACCCCTTCCCTGCATGCACTAACTTCATCCAGAGGGTACTTGTGTGCTCCCTAGCAAGGAGGACAGCAGCTCTCCAGCAAAGTTTGGGAACTTTGATGTAGCAAGAAAAGTATCTCAAATTGTGTTTTTCTGGCTTTCTGTCTATACATAACTGTATAGAATGGAGATCCCAGTAGGAATTAAGATGGGATTGCATATGGTGGAGTTCTGCTCCCTTTCACTTCAGGAATCAACATGGGGCAAGGTGCCAGGGTCTGGCCAAGGGGAATTACATTGCATCTCTAAATCCCAGCCATTCTCAGTAGAGGACGGAGCAGAACTAAAAGCCTTTCATGCCTGCAAAGCTTTACATCAACTTTACATCAGAAATCACCATTGCGTTGCCTTGGGAACCCACCACAATGAATGGAAACGCTGTTCCAACCAGAAAGAGATTGAACCAGAGCAGAGACCCGCAGATCATGTATGCAGCTGGTCGGGACATCTGATCAAATATCTCTGTGGGCAGAATTCCTGTTACACCAGCTGGAAAAAGGAATAGCAGGAAAGTTAAGAACATTATTGGTAACACTGCTGATAAAAACCAAGAGAGCACAAGCAAAGCCAATGTGCCATTTGTGAGAACAGTGAATTGTATTCAGTAAATTATTCTCACTAGTCAACAATGCCAGAATAAGTGGTAAAAGAGATAAACTGCAGTGGGGAAGTCTTAGGTTAAATATTAAGGGCTGGCTAATTATTTAGTCTCTTTCGTGTTGGAATGAACTGCTGGGAGAGGTTTTGTAACCCACATTATTCTCACTGGGATCTGGCTGTGAAAATAGCTCATAATTAGTTCAATCCTATGACACTGTAAGGACAAGAAATTACTTCCAAAGCCATGTGCTTGCACACAACTCCAGACTTCCATGGCACCCAAAAGTTTCAGTGAAACATGTGGGGAACTGACCTGGTCCAAGTCCAAAGCTCAGGATATAGGCGAAAATGCAGGCCATGCTGAGATAAGGCATCCAGCTAATCTGAGTCTGCAGCCACAAGGAACAACAAAAAGCCAATCAGAGCACTTACTGTTACTTGCCACCACTCGACAGCCCAGTCACATAAAAATGTCAATTGCATTTCCCTTAAATAATCCAATGAAGTCCATTACCTGCTGGCTCAGAGCAACCATGAAGACAGTGGCCCATCCTGCCATGAGGATGTATCCTCCCAGCAGCAGTGGCCTCCGGCCAGCGTAGTCTATAATCATGTTCTGCACAAAGTAACACAGTGAAATAAAGCAAAATGGTTGACATCTGTTTAGATTCCTGCTTGTTCCCTCTTGTCCCATTGCAACTCTTAGCTGAAAGAGAAAGGCTGCTCAGGGGAAGGGGTCTGGCAGGAGCCAGCAAGATGGTTGTTGAATGAGACACGAAGATGCCAAGTGCACCTAAACCCAGCCTGTAGCTGTGGTGACATAAGGTAAAAGTTTCATTTTCTAGAGACAGTGTGCACAGATCAGAAGCACAGTGTCCATTCAGACCCTTCCAAAGAGCACTTTTCAGACAACGATGACGATGCAATATCTTACAAAATACAGCAACAACCCCTCTGGACACGAATGCTGAGAGTTTGCCTGACTGCTGTGTTATGAAGTGCTTCCTTGGAATATCAGGCAATGTAAATTCGAAATTCCTCACTGTCAGTACAGCTGTGTGTCAGCAGTGTTTTAAGAGCCTCACACAAGTTACAGACGTGATCAGTTCACAGCTCCCTGTGCCGATGACAACATACGGGATTGTGTCCTGAGGAATTCCAGCCTCCTGGAACACGTAAGCTGCATAAAAGTACATCTGTGGAGAGAAGAGAGGAGAGAGCAGTAAGGGAAGGTGTCTGAAAATACATCCACTTGCTTTTTCCTGAAGGACCATGAAAATCAGGGCTGGGTGCCAAAGGGTTTTTCCTGTATATTAAGCAGGCATTGTAGCACAGACCTAGCATTTGTACCCTGTTTACTTTTTATGCCATCATTTTATATATTCCAATTCAACTTCTCCCACTTCTCCCACGATTCCTCCTTCACTACTTTGTTCATGCCTTCTGCAGCCAGATCTCCAAAAGCAGAGCAGAACACTGCTCCTTCTTCTATAGGAAGAGTGTTAAACTCAAGTGCTTGCACCCATGGCCCGCACAGTGCTGCTGCTGATTACTGCAGCCACCAGCAGCTCACCGAATCGTTCCCGCAGAGCTGCATGGCACTGCTCAGCACGATGATGCTTATCAGCTGCCACCTCACTGCTGGGTTTTGGAACAGCTCCCACGGCTTCTTCGCTCTCTGACCTTTGGCAGCAGCCTGTTCAGCTAGCATCTCCTCCAGCTCCTCTCCCAGCTCACTGCTGCCTCTGAGCTTCTTCAGTGCTGCAAGGACAAGAGAACTCAGGCTTTACCTTTGTTTGCCCATCCCTGCAGGCCAAACAGCTGAGCAGTAGATGATGGTTGTGGGAAGCTGTAGAAGAGCCCATGATTGTGGTACTGCCCCCACAAGTGGTATCCCCTTGAAAGATTAGGGGGTAGGAACTGCAAACCCTTCCCCATTGTTTGACAAGGGAATATTTCCAGTCCATGTCATTCCAGCAGCCATGCTTCTGACTCATACCTCAAGTGGATTCCCTGGGAAATGCAGGCAATTAAGACATTGCTGGTACATGATTCCTGGAAACTAATTCCAGCTTCTCCGTGTATGGGGATTGTATGGTACAAATCTAAGCAAATCCTTTAATATGAACTGGCTGCACATTTGGTCATGAGTTCTTCAGCCAGCATTTATTTCACTTCATAGTTACAAAACATATACGTCATTGTGAACACAAGCTCCACATTTTGACCTTTTCTTCTTATCAAAAAATGTACTTTATAAAGATGCCTTTAAATTATCTTAATAGATCATAAATATTTAAGATTGTAGAATGTTGTTTAGCTTGGAAGGAGGAAGTAATGACAAATGGAATGATACATTGCTTCTCAGATATAAAACCATGGCACCATTCTCACGAGATTGCAGCCTAAGTCTTTGTACAAAAGCAGGATGCAAAGAAGTTAATCACACATTAATCTGTGCTCAGAATTACTTTGGTTCACACAAATATGCAACCAACTACCACCTGCTTAAGGGTGCAACAATTAATGCATCTGCAAACATTGGTGGCACCATGTATCCTGTACAGAACAAGCATGGTTCTGGTTTGTTAACCAAATGTTCTGGCACATCACGGGACTGGAGACATAACCCATAGTACTGGGCTCAAGGATTTTATGTTCATCTGAGGAGACTGGTACGTCACCCAACAGAATATTTGTGTTGGGAGGAATCTACATTTCAATTTGCTTTAGGCTGAATACACTGGATTGTGTGTGAAGATATGCAATCAACCTTCTTACTGTGCCTTTGCCCAGTCAGCAGATCCCACTGCTCAGTGAGGGGCTGGCTGTCGCCCTAAGCTCACCAGAGATGCAGGACTCTCTGTCTCCACGGTCAATCAAGAGGTATCTGGGACTTTCAGGAAACCACGGCAGAACCATGAGCTGGATTAGGGCAGGCACAGCATTGCTGGCTAAAAGGAGTGGCCAGCTTTCCTCCCCTCCTAGAAGCTCCCTGGAAAAAAAAACAACAAGTATTAACAAGTATCTTGCTCAGTAAATTCTACAAGAGACCAGAATCATCTGCTGTGTGTGGGCACTGGAAAAGAAAGGAAAGGGAGGAGGAGTAAAATAGGTGAAATATAAACTGGGCTTCTAGCTTTACATTACCTGAGTCCAACAACCTGGCCCAGCACCAGTCCCAGGGCTGTAAAGGATGCAGAGGTCAAGGCCACAGCCCCTCGGAGCTTCCTTGGGGCACTCTCTGCCAGATACATGGGCTGAATGTTCATGCTTACACCTGGCAAGGCAGACAAATGCTGGCCTCAGCTTGCAGACAGAAGAGATGAGGGCAAACGCAGTCAACTCTTGACTTGCAGGAAATGCGATGTCTGACCTACCTAAACTTATTTACCCAAACCTTTAATTTCACATCTGATCGGACTAGAGGATAAATTATTTTCATATCTAAGATGATTCCTATTTCAGTATCTTCTATTTCTAATTGATACTTTTGATATCTTTTGGCCTGTTAGGTTTCTCATTCCTGCACACCTCATACCTGCGTTCACACCAGTAAGGAACCTGCTGAGCATAATCATTTCGAAGGATCTCGCCATCTGGCTGAATCCTGACAAGACGGCGGCTACGATCACAAAGACGTTGTTAACCAGCAGGGACATCTTCCTTCAGAGAGAAAAGAGATGGTTGTGAGCTCAGATGTGTGCCAGGTTTGCACATTTCCCCTTGGCCTAAAAGAAACTGCAAAGCTTCAAGTATAACCCAGCACCTCTTACCTTCCCAACACAATGGCCATGGGGCCAGCAGCAACAGCCCCTGCAAGGCCTCCCAGGGGGAACACGGACACGGTGAAGGACCACAGCAGCAGGACCATGCCACTCCCCAGGGGAGCACCTGTGCGTTCCAACCATGTTTTGTTCATGAATGTCTGGATGTACTGCGAGAAAAGGACAGTGCTGTGTGACCACGGACAGAGAGAGGCGTGTAACTGCTTCCTTCTGCATCCATCTTCTTGTGCTGTGCTCATGCTGTTACATCTTGGGCTGAAAACGGCCTCCAGCTCATAGACGTGTTTTTAACAGAGGGATAAGGATCTAAAACTGTAGCTGCTGAAAAGTTGCACTTGGCTTGTGTGTCTGTGTAGCTGTTTTGGATAATTTAAAAACATGCATCATGGGTCCAACTTTGAATTTAAGGGCAAAAGTCAATTTCGTAGGATGTAGGTTGAAAAAATTTTAAATTAGATATTTTAAAACAACTAAAAGCAAGGCTTTTAAAAGAATTCTTGTGACTCTAGATCCTGAATAAGGGTGGCTCGTGACAGCAAAGTTCTGTACCTTGACTATGACTTACACAGAGGTGACAACATATTCCCACCCTCAGTACTAGCAGGCTGCCTATTTTTGGTAGCAGGCCACTATCTGCAGCCTGAATGAGGACACCAAGGCAGCGTGTGTCTCAAGAGGAGCCACTCAGACCCACAGTACTTACTAAAGTTGGAGCATTGATGATGGAGATGTTGTAACCATACTGGAAAGTGCCTCCAATCCCAGCAGCACACACTGTCAGGATCAGGTTCTTGTTCTGAAGCTGAAGAAGATGGATGGAAAAAGGATAGCTTTTGTGCACAGAATAAAATGGCTCAGCAGATATTTGGCCCATTGTGTGATGAATATTAGCACAGGCTACAAATGATGTTGTATAATGGGAAGTGCAAAAGACAGAAAACAAAATACAGAGTTTTAAAATCTATGGCTTCCAAAAGTGCAAAATGATACTAAGATTCCATATTAATACTTCGCTGCCATTCACAATTTGGAACTGCTTGAAGACAGAGGCTTGCAAGTGTCTTTTGTTTAATATTTAATGCATATGCTTACAGAAAGTCAGCATAACAACAGCAAATACTGTCAGGGTCTGGTGTTATTGCTTCAATTAATTCAATGCAGTACAAAACCTGTACCCACACGATGAATTACTCAAGAAGCATTTGGCAAAGTTTAATAACTTCTGAATCATTTCCAGCTCCCCTCTAGTATAAGAGATTTTCTCAGGGCTATTTATGTCCAGGGCACTCTTGTTCACTGGCATGCTATTTCTTCTACCCTTTTACTGCAATTATACTTTCTTTTTTTGTCCTTTCATTTTAGCTTAAAATAGACTGCTTTTCCTTTGCTGCTTCACTTTTTGTACAGAGCAGACAACGTCTTTCTGATGAAGTTTTCCATCACGCAGTTGTTCCTACAGGTGTTCAGCAGCCTACAGTTGAGTATTCAGTCAGAATATTTTCTGCATTTTCAGTATAATGATGTGGGCGAAATACACGGCAGGTCGTGGGTTCTGTGTCACGTTCTGTGCCTCCTTGAAGTCATTTCTTCACTGCCCACTGCTCCCATAGCCATTTAATGGGCCTGCTTCATGCAAATCATGGAATCAGGGTGCTGGTATCAAAGAGAAGCCTCTTGCCTTTGGAAGGGTGTAGAACAAGCTGTCCCAGCTGACACCTGGGTGCTCACTGTTACGCTTATGAGCAAAAACCAGTCGTGTGTATTTCCCTTTCTACATATTTCTGTTGATCTTTCCTCCTCTATTGTGTTTGTAAATTCCAGTTCATACTTGCCACCCTTGACAGGATGCTTTTCTGTGTGTCTGACTTTCCACAAATGGATCCACTGCTCCTGCAGAGCAGCACAGCCATGTGCCAGCAGCATCACATCCCCATACCCACACCTCCATCCTCACTGCAGCCACACTACCAATCCTTGTCTGTTCTCATGTATTCTGTGCCTGTGCTTTCGGTTTCTCTACCTGTACATGAGATGCTGTGCCTGGCAAGCAGTGCCCTGGTGGTGTCCCTGGGCTGGAAGCACTGTCTCATGTCCCAAGACCACTCTGAGCTTGCTGGGGCACCCAGCCCTTATCCTGACTCAAAGCCTCTTAATGTCATTAACTTCCAGAGGCTCAGATAAGATGTTCTCCCTGGCAGAAGCACAGCAGACTGTTCCAGCCCTGCGGCAACAAGAGGCCGAGCTCTCTCCTGCCCCGTTAGAGGGCACACCGCGCTCACTTGCACTTTCCTTGGCACGGCTTTGCTGTCTCACTGCTGTGAGCCCTTGCTATCCCTGCTCTTCCCACTAACTCCAGTTCTCCAGATGAGAGAGATGCCCTGTGCCTACAACAGCACGCTTCTTTTGATCTTTAACCACAACGTCTAAAAGACAAAACATTCCTCCTGCTGATTTCCCTGCATTCATTCTAGAGCCTATCACCTATTACAGCCATAAGCAAAGGGAAAACGTTTGCTCCTCCCTTCCGGAGCCACGGCACAGCGCCGAGCTGCCCTGCAGGGTTCCTTCCCAGCCGGGCTTCACCACCGCGTGATGTGCAGCTGCCAGGAGAGCCCTCAGTCTGTCAGCTCTAACCCAGGGACTGGGACGAGCTGACGAGTAATTCTACAATAACCTGTAAGGACTTCCATAGCCTTATAAAAAATAGGGATAAAAAAAAAAAAATAATAATCCGTCAACAATAATAGAAAAGTTTCTTGTTCTTACCAATCTCTGCAGCTTGTTCATCCTCTTTGGTGGTCTTTCCTGTCTTGCCGAAGCTCTCAGCAGTGCTCCAAAGGATTATTTAAATCTCCAGCGTAGGCACTGACACTCAGTGGCGGAGCGCAGCCGCCTCGCAGCCCGGCCAGCTCCGGGCACGAGGGTCCGCGGCGTCCTTTGCCAGGGAAACGCCGGCACTGCGGCGCAGCCCTCCACGAGCGCGGAGCTCTCGCGAGAGCGGCTGACGTGACGTGGGCGTTGCCAGGGCAACGGCGGCAGATTTAAAAGCCCGAAAGCCGGAACTGCCGCCCCCTTGTCAGATGGAGCCGCGGCCGGGTGGTTCGGCGCGACGCTGAGCTGTGGTCAGTGCCTCCGTTCAGAGCTTCTAAAGGAAGAAGCGTCTGTGCAGTCCGTGATCAGCCAGGTTCACGTGTAGTCTGCGCTGAACCCACAGCCTGGGGCTAAGCGGCCCTGAACTTTACCAGTGGAGTATCTGGTTGGAGGGGAAGCAAACAGTAATGAGAAATGGCAAATTGGCACCAGAAAGTCTAGCAGGAGGGAAAAGTCTGTTTCAAAGCTTGAGGTGCAGTGAAGAGCTCAGGAACACGGGTAGTCTGATCAGTTCTCCAGGTTAGGGAAATGGAGAGGGAGAGGACTGATAATTAACATCAGTACATGGCTGAGGGAGTGGTGTTGTGAATGGGGCTTTGGCTTCTTATGTCGTGGAACTGATTTTGGGACATCTCATCTTCTTGGGGAGGGTGGAGTTCATCTGTCAGACAAGGGGAAGACCATCTTTGGCAGCAAGCTTTCCAATTCAGTCAGGTGAGCTTTAAGCTGGAGTTGCTGAGAGTGGGGATCTTAAAATCATTGCACTTTGAGGCTGACAGTGAGGATGCCCTGGGCCTGGAGTAGGATCACAGGTCAGTAAGAGAGCTCTTAAGGTTCAGGATAAGGGAATTCTGATTGGTAAATCAGCCTCAATGGGAGTCCAACTCAAGTGCCCATACACAGTGCATAGAGCATGGGGTACAAGCAAGACAAGTTGCAAGCATATGCATGGGTTAGGGTTAAAGGGAAGGCAGAGGAAAGGAGATGTAGTGGGGGTCTGCTACGGGCTGCCTGATCAGGAAAACCAAGTAGAAGAGACCATCTACAAACTAATAGGAGCTGCTCCACGTTCACAAAGCATGGTCATGACGGGAGCCTTCAGCCAGCCCCGTATCTGTCAAACGGACAACAGCAGTGCACCAGAAATCAAAGAGGTTCCTGAAATGTGTTGATGATAACTTCCTCTTCCAAGCTGTACGGGAACCCATGAGAAAAGGAGCTATGCTGAGCCTTGTCCTCACCAATGACAAGGGGCTGGTGAGTAAAGTGAAGCTCAAGGACGTTCTTGGTTGTAGTGTTCAAAGTCCTCATAGTGTTAAAGAGGGTGCACAGCAAACTTGCCACTCAGGACTTCAGGAGAGCAGACTTTGAACTCTTCAGGGAACTGCTTGGCGGGGTGACATGGGAGAAATCCCTGGAGGGAAGAGGTCCCTAAGAAAGCTGGTTGGTATTCAAGGACCATCTGCTCCAAGCCCAGAAGCAGTGCATCCCAAGAAAAAGGAAGGCAAGAATGCCAGGAAGCCTCTGTGGATCAACAAGAAGCTCCTGGACTTATTTAGCTCAAAAAGAAAGACTATAGGGAGCGGAAGCAGGAACAGGCTACTTAGATAAAGGAAGAAATTATTGACTGTGAGGGTAGTGAGACACTGGAACAGGTTGCACAAACCTGCTGTGGATGGTCCCTCCCTGGAACCATTCAAGGCCGAGCTGGATGGGGCTGTGAGCAACCTGGTCTAGAGGGAGGTGTCCCTGCCTGTAGCAGGGCGGTTGGAACAAGATGATCTTAAGGGTCCCTTCCAACCAGACCATTCTGTGATTCTATGTATTGAGTCACCTATTACACTGGGATAACACACATGATTTGGTGTCTTGCCAGCTGATTTACATTCTCTAAATGGGACTACATGTTCATTAGCAATACAGTTCCATTTACTTTCTTTCAAATACATGACAGTCTGGGGAAATTATTCTGCAGGATCCAGAGCTGCCCAAATTCCTAAGCTCTGAGGGCAGCTGGTACCAAGGAGTGTACATGGTTTTGTGCTGTGGGAGGCACCAATCGAGGAACCAACAGAGCTTCACAGTTGTTCACAGAGGCATGGAGGTCCTCGTACAGCGGATTTATGGCACACCCCTGGAGTACAAAATTGAAATTCCATTCTGTTTCAAAACCTTGGTTAACAATTAAATACCTTTATGCAGCAGAGGCCCTCTTGTTACCTCTTGGAGGCTCCAGCTAAATTCTAATGAGTAGAAAAGGTTTTGTTGCACAGCAATGGCGACTTCTTCCATGACCTTTCATCTTTGTCTTCTGGCTTATCTTTCACTAGGATGGCAGCTTTGCTCCCTTCCTGCACCGCCCATCGCATCTGCAGGGCAGATCTGATGGGCTCTGCGTAATGAGGCCAGCCAGTGTGGGGCTGCTCGTTGTTCCAGAAATGGTTCCTTGTCCCATGTGAACGGCTGAAGATGGTGTGGCAGCAGCGACAGCAATGGCTTGCGTCTTTCTATGCAATACATTCCATACATTTCAAAGTATTCAGAATAGGTGCAACTGTTTTTAAACCCCTCTTTATCCCCGGTCAGTTGTTGCTGCCGACCCGTTCTGCAAAAGCTTCTCTTCCGGACACTGAGTGCTGCTCCGCCATCGGCCACTGAGCGGCAGGAGCAGCATGGGATGCTTGCAGCTGTGGCTCGCAGCGCAGCCCGGATGGGAGCTCCTGGAGCTCCCTGCCTTTTCCAGCAGCAGCCTCGGTGAGTGAATGGATGCTTTTCTTTCCCCTCCGTCGCACCTGTATGCATTGTGCTGTGATGCTGACTGATGCCCACATTGGTTGCGTTGCCTGTTGGATTCCTGCCGTGCCTTTAAAGATCACAGTATTGCCAATGCTCAGCCCTCAGGATGAGTTCTCATCGTGTCACAGCTGATGTGGGTGAAGAATCCCCAGCCTGTATCACTGGCATGAAGTGCCATGCTGCAGCTACACGACTCCTGAAAGGAGAAGCAGCTCCCCAGCACTGCTGTGGGGACTTACCTCCCTCTTTCCTCAAATACCTTCTCGTTGAGCTCAGCTTGTCATAGTTAGGTGAAACATGATGCCACGAGTATGGGACAACACTTACATGGAGATGTGATGGCATCTCTGTGCCTGCAATGATCTGACTGCAGGAGCAACCAGAATCCTGCTGTTAGAAGTCTCTCAGCACACACTTTGCTCTGCCCTATGCTGAAAGGTTCCTGCATGCCAGGGGTCTCACCTGGGGTCCTCTGGACCATCTACAGGCATGCTGTGAGAGGAGAAGAGGGGCCTGTTTCTATTAATGCAGCTTGGCTCTACAGGATGCCTTCTCACTACATACCCTGCTCTGTAACCGCAGAGATCTGACTGGGTGTTGGATCTCAGCTGTTTCTGTCGAATGTTCTGTCTTTCCCATAAGGACCATCCCCACAATTTCTGTGAGTTCAAAACACTGTATGACAACTTCAGGAAATGGGCTTTGTTGCAGTTTTGGGGGGCAGGAACACAGTCACAAGGCAACTCTCCAGCCCCAAGGGGACACATGGGTACTGAGGGGATCCTGTGGTGCTCACCTGCAAGCAGGCATGTCAGAAGAGCAGCTCTGTCTCTCCTGTGTGCTGGGTCAGTGCTTGGTGTTTTTATCCCCCTGATAAGCAGTAGAGGTTCTCTGCGAAACCCAGGAAAGCCGAAATACTACTAGTAATTGAATTGCCCTTTCTCAATCTGTTGTGAGCAGTAGGTCAGGCTGTAGCTGAGCTATTCTCTTTGTTCTTTGTATCATACTCTGATACGGGGGCTTAGTTGAAACTGGGGAATCTGAGGGCCAGAGAGAGCAAACTGCAGAACAAAACCTCCATCCCTGAGTGCAGGAGAGGATCCTTTGTAGTGCCACGTGGCAACAAATGGTGTTGGATGGTCCTGTCCTGCTGTCACAGTGCCAGATTCATCCTGATATCTTATTTAGCGCTCACTTCAGGTAGAGCTTTTTGTTAGAGATGTTCCCAGCTAACTGAGAGCCACCTGAACTAGGACACAGGCACAGTCCTGGCTCTAAAGTGTAAATGCACCTTCTGATACCTTCAGCAGCTGACAGCACACCCAGGTGTATGTGCTGCATTTCTGCAGCTGAAAGTAGACCTTCTCTTATAGGAAACAAGTGTTGCCTGATATTCTCTTAGCCAACTGGCCACAGTGGTTATGAAATGAATGTTACAAAATGAGTGCCCTCGAATGACATTCCCCAGCGACAGCTGTGGGAGGTGACCTGTGGTGCAGAGAACAGATCACAAGGCAGAACTTAACAGGAGTGATGAAGCACTGGGAAAAAAATAACTGTGCTAAGAGACAGTGGTTTCCTCTCTCGATGCCTTCAATTCATAATCAGAATCTGGTTTAGAAGAGGGCCTTTATTTGGATATATGACCAGACTCTGCTCGAGGAGATTTAGGTGAGATTATCTTTCTCATGATATGCCAGAAGCAGTTGCATCTCTGAACAAAAAGCCATAAGAGTAAAAACAACATAAACTTTGATTTACCACAAACCCCGTGCAACCCACTTATCCTTGGAAGGCTGAGCACTAAGTGCTATTTTTAGTTTCTTTCTAACAAACAAGCAAACAAAATACCAATAACAACCAAACATCCAGTTCTGTATGATTCATCTCCCCCTGACTTTAGCCCTCAAACTGTAGACTTAGCTGATGTGTGATAGACACAAGACTCAAGTGCCCCAGGCAGTTATGGTTACACAGCTTATCTATGGGCTCTGAGTCCATGGAGTGGAGTTTCCAGAACTGGAACAGAGTTACTTTGTGACTGATCTGTGGTGGGTCTGGGGCTCTTGGTACCCATCATCCATACAGCAAGGATGGAGTCTGAGAGCAGAAGTTGCCTTTCCAGTGCCCTGTGCCTTTCTGAACACGTTCCTCTGTGTGGGACTACATTCCCACTCACACAGATGTGTGCCTTGCACAGGGCTGGCACAGCACATGCTGGGGGGCACTGGGGTGAGTGAGACCTCACAGGCAGCTCACTCAGCCTCATTTGATGGGTGGGCAGCATGAATTTGTCCTGATTTCCAAAGAACTGGGGC